TCCTCTCCATGCAACGCAAATGCGGGCTAGTTCCAACATAAAGTCCTCCGCGAAGGCTAATTTGTCTCAATGTTTGATCGAGGAGTTCCCCTATCTTTCGGGAAAGGTTCAAAATTTCAAGGCTACGGAATCGAACATTGATAATCGTATACAATCGTAATACAAACTCGGAATTGGGTCGGTAGTTCAGAACCGGATATGAAACAAAACAAAATGTCTTCTAAAAGTAATGTCAGTAGTTTGATTCAAAAACTGTTATTGATCCGATCGGAATAATAACTTCATAAAGTTTTACTTGTTTTTGAAAATGAATTAAATAATATATTTTGAGGATTGTAATTGCGAAACACCCTGTGCCTTTAACCTCGTCCCATAACAGCAAGTACAATTTTGTGTTCTTTTCATTTATACGAAGGTTAAACACTTATTCACTTTATAGTTGAAATTCTAACTTATAAACTGAATTATATATTTATATCCACCCATGAAAAACCTTAATTATTAACTGAAAGTTCTTTCTTCTAGATTACATTTTAGTTTCTCAAAATGCCAAAAGGTTAACCTTTCGGAAAATAATGCAAATTTCGGAAAGGTAAATAACCTTTTCTAAATATAGAACAACCTCTTCTCAATATTTTTGTATGCTCCGTTAGAGAATCAATTTGCATGTTTATACCACGCAAAGCATTGTGGGTAATTCCTTGCCGATTAAAATGGAACTATGGAGGTGCTTGTTATTGCGTCTGCGTGTGTGTAAAGGATTTTGTACTTTATTTATTTATCATCATTTTTGTGTTATTGCATATTTTAGGTGAAGTGTTCTGAAGATGCTATAGGGAGTGTTAAATGGTGGTATCATTCTAATGCGATTATAATTTTTTTTAGTAAGGATAGAGGGAAATATTTTAACGCCAACTTTTTGAATTTGTTAGTGGAAATGTATTGGATGATTCCAAAATTTATTATTGATTTAAAAGTCAATCAATGATTTTTTTTTAAAGAAAAATCAAAACTAAAAAAGCTAGAAATGTACAATTTGTTGCATCTTGTTTAAAAAATCAGATAATTTATTCTCACAAAGCTTCAAAATTAGTAAAAAAGTTAGACAACATATTTCGTTATTAATTTCGAAAATAATCAAGAAAAAAAAAATTTTAAATAAAAAAAGCACTATCATTTGTTACAATAACCTGGTGCAATCATAAATCATGGTCAAAAAATTGCAAACTCCTGTACAAATATTTCTATTGGAATGGTCAGATTGAGAGCTAAAACTATTATTTCATAATTTTTTTTCATTCAATCAGCAGTGCCATCTCTTAGTGAAATTTGTCACTAATTAGGAAATTTAAGGAAAAAAATAATCTTTTTTTCCTTACAGAACATAGAAAAATAACCATAAATATATCCTTCTATTTTTCTTAAATTAATTTTCTCAATCATCTACTTTTCTAAAACATTACTAACCAGCTTTTTGGCATCGAAAAAAAAATACCTAGGCATTATATAAAATACTAGTTTTCAAACAATTGCTGAGTTTAAAATGAAGAAATTAATCTTCGTAATCAACCTAAAAGTAAAACTTTATTTTTAAGTAACTAGCTTGATAATTTTAAGGTCTTTGATATTATTCCCTATGAATGATTTTAATGCAATTATTGAAATTGCAACTTTAAAATAATGAAAGCTTTTTCTTTGTGATATACTTAAGCAAGGAGCTCTTATTTTAAAACTATGGATTTACAGCACTTTTAAAAAATAAGACGTACAGTTTTAGACCACTTTAAAAGCTTTTTCGAAAAAACCTAATCCTTTTGTTTTTTAATTTAGCGAGTAATTTTCTAAATATAACTTAACCTCTCTGCAGCGTTCCCTAATCAGTTTTAATTTCTTTTGTCTGGATTATATTTTATCGAATTATTTTTTAGACTTTCTTCAGTGTACAGTCTGTGTACATCAAGAATTCACATAGACACAACAAAAAAACTATATTTGATTATTAATATTAGTATTCTAAAATAATTTGTAATTTAATTTCTGACAGGTGGGCGGAAGCTTAATTTTTTGAAAAATGTTTGTGATGTCTAAACTATTTAAAAGATTCTGATGCAACCTAAGAGGTTTTGTGGTTGGAAATCTTCCTTCTGAGGATTAATTTATCGTTATTAGTTTAAAATGATGAAGGACTTTCGGGAAATAGAATTTTTGTCCATAAAGAGAATTAAGATTCATAATTTAAATTGGATTTAGCAATAGGTAATAATTAAATTTGAATAATTTAATTAGTCATTTCTTTAATTCTTAATTTATATTGTTTTTTGAGTGGTGCATGTTTTAATAAACTTTATTAATATCGATTTGACTGAATAATACTATTCAGCGTGGGGACCCTGAATAGTTTATTATATTTCTTGGACGTGTGGGAAGTGGGCTGTGTGGGCTTCTTTGAGTAATCGATTGATGTGATATCGTACCTTCTGTTTTTATCACCAGTATGAAAGAGGAATTCAGGAAAAGAATCGTCTATTGATGGAATATTGTATCTTCTGTTTTTATCATCAGTCTGAAAGAAGAATAAAGAAAAAAAATCGTCTATTGATGGAATATTGTACCTTCTGTTTTTATCATCAGTCTGAAAGAGGAATAAAGAAAAAAATCGTCTATTGATGGAATATTGTACCTTCTGTTTTTATCATCAGTCTGAAAGAGGAATTAAGAAAAAAATCGTCTATTGATGGAATATTGTACTTTCTGTTTTTATCATCAGTCTGAAAGAGGAATTAAGAAAAAAAAATCGTCTATTGTACCTTCTGTTTTTATCATCAGTCTGAAAGAGGAATTAAGAAAAAACAATGTTGAGTCGTGGCAAAATTTAATTATGAACATATTTAGCACGTGGTTGAGACAAAGTATATTATGTATGTATATTCGTATATTCTATATATATCCCCCTATGTATATTCTTTGGTTAAGCCTACTTTCACATTTCAATTTAAGACAACTGCCAATTTAGGAGCTATTACTTTACCTACAAATTAAACTTAGTAGTAGTAAAATTTGTAGTAAAACCTGGACCTACAATTTTATTCTATGTTTCCATGTATGAAAAATTTCAAAAGCACGCGAAGACAAAGAAAGATTGTAAAATACCGTAATATAAGTTACCCTGCAATATGGGGAAACTTAAATCAACGTAATAATTTAATATCTGGCTTATGTAAGTTGGTGAAAACAAAAGGTTGAAATAAATGTCTACTGCTAAAAATTCTGAATTGCCTTCTGTTCTTTCCCGAAATTAATTTTAAATAAACTAAAATCAAACCTGTCTTGTTTATTACATCGGCCTTCATGCACTCAGATTTGTCAGACTTTTATAATGTTGTTTGATTCGTCTTCGATTAAACATTTATTTACAACCTTCAAAATGTATACCATTTACATTTTTGACAAGGTTTCTAAAAATACTTATTATAGGTGGTCTTAACAGAATTATCCAATTAAAAAAAATTAATCTCAGGTTTCCAAAGAATAATTGGTAAATTCAAAACCAATTATTCTTTGGTTACCTGAATTAAAATGTTTTCATAGCAGATACTTTTCTTTACCATAGATTGATAATGACTTTGTTATAACATACATTTAATACCATTTACTTCTAATCGATCTTATGTGAAGAGGATTTGTTGGTGTCAATATTTATTCGCTAAAAACATCCATGAAAGTTTCAGATTTTAGTTTTAAAACTTTCTAAGAAAATCTGCCCGAGTCTTTAATCTTCTAGGGCCAAATATAGGTATCTAGGCATAGAAGATTAAAGAACTCTTTCTCCAAACTCGGTCGATAGCGATTTGATTAATTTTTCCTATAGTTTTAAAGTTCACTTCAGAATAATTTTATGCTATTGTTTGTTGAGTATTAAGATGAAAAATAATAACCCACTTGTTTGTAAGTTTGTAAAAAAATATTTCCTTGTCATAGATAATGTAAAGATGGCTGGTTCTTCTTGAAAGTGAATCAGCATTTTTAATAAAACTAAGAGTAATTAAAAGACAAATAATAGAGAGATTTTACAAAGCGGCGCGACTCCCCTAAAACTATTTGAGCTTCTCATCACATGCGTAGAAATTTCCCTACACATTGCTATGTTGTTAAGGGGCAGAAAAGGAGATTAGCGTTACGCTTAACGTAACGCTTAATGTTACGCTTAACGTAAGACAAACGCGGGGCAAAGTCTTTCTCATGCCAAAAAACAGACATACTATAGTTTCGGTCCCATAATCATGAATCTTCCTCAGCGCCGAAACACAGAATAAGGTAAGGCAATACAAAGAAGCAAATAAATAAATAAAATAACAAAGAAGTTTCAGTTAGGAAAAAAATCGTTTAACTTGGAAGTGTTAAAGATTCTCTTAATCTCACTTCGTATTTAGAGCATGAGAAAGATTCTTGATTATCGAGGAGAAACTGTATTATGTCTGTTTTTGTGGCATTATCTCATTTTTCATTTAAAACAGTATTGTGCCGGCTTATATGGATTCAGACTTGTGTTGTTTGAGCAGATTAAGACATCCAAGCTCCTTATAAACATAAATTCGTGGATCCCCTATTTTCCTCCACTCCGTTACCATGGTTTCGTCAAATGTATATTTTTCTCCTCGTCAGTATATTCCAACTTCCTGAAACGTACTAGCTAGGAAAAAAGGCAAGATGCCGAAAAATATTAATGAGGAGGGGAAAAGTGTGGTGGGTTATAAAATCACGTAACCTTGATAACCTTATTCTAGTTTCCAAGAGTATAATTGAAATTAATTATTTACAGTAGGAAAGAGATATTTTTATAAAATGTTGGCTCACTCTTTCTTCTCCAAAGATCATTAATTATTGGTGACTAAAATGCTCTGATACGAAAATGCAAAATTTGTTTTACCATATTTTTATCCCAAACTTCGCAGTATTACGTATGTAAAATTACTACATTTTTTCTTTTTTTTGTTTTGTAGATGGTAGTCAAGAAAGAACAGTGTCTTTGTTAGTTGATGGCGAAGAAACAGAATTGTCATGCGAAGATCCGCACGATTCTACATTTGAAGTAAGCACAAATATTCTGTTTTTAAAAACCGGGTACCTGCAAGCATAGCAGGCAAACACCATGATAAAACAGCCAATCAGGTTTGGCACCGAGCTTGATATCGCTTACAAAAATATGACCCGAAAACTGCCTGACCAGGTCAAATAGTTGTAACGTTTACAGTTTGTCTATAGTAAGAACTCCTCGCGCCACGAAGTCTAAGGCCGTCTGTAGCTATGGGAACAAGAAATAGCGCATTGAAAAGTGGGAAGCTTCTTTCGTCCCCGCGTCTGAAAACCAAAACCTGTCTGAAATAATTACCCAACACCCTACTTGAAATAGTTATACTTTGCAACCACAGCACCGCCACTATTCCAGACGAATGGCTAGGAATGCATGCCGTCTTGTTTGTACACAACCAGCTGATTTGAGTGGTCTTCTTCTTCTCAAGTTGCACGCACCCAATTAGATGATAACTAATTGGGAACCAATTAGCCACTTGGAAGTTTCAAGTATTAGATGAGTTTTTGTCAGGTGATTATAAAGCAACTAGTTGGCTGCGCCCCCTGCCCGCTAAGGCTCGTCAACCCCCGAAAATTGCTACGCAATCTTATATGGTTTGCTTCGCAAACCACTAACTTAGGTACATTCCAAATGCACAAAATTCTAAGAATTCAGAACAATCATTCAAATCCATATAAAAACTTTTTTTCTTAAAAAAAATTACATCTTTTTAGTAAATACTAAGTCATTAAAAAAATTTGAATTCAAATAAATGACATGTAATTCGTTAAACTTAATAGAAATGTGCTATAGTATAATTCGTGATATAAATCAAAAATCGTCAAATAAATTCGTAATATATAAATTCGTGAAAAAAAGCGCTTTCGACAAAATACTAAAATAGAGATCTATCGACAAAGACTACTCATAGAGCTTAATAGTATGAGATTGCCACAGCTGATGCTCTCTGGTTATTTCAGTTTCCGTTTTTAAAAGCGCTATATGTTGAGCCACCTCAGCTAGATTTGGCATGTGACATTTTTAGCGGCAATCATTGGTCGGTTCGCCGTGTAAGAGAAATAGTAGCGTAAACAAAACAAAGCAAACGTTGCCACCGGCGGAAAAGAAATACAGCCAAAATTTGGGAGCCACTTAAGAGAATTATATATATTAGATTTTCGATTCGAAATTACTGCTATCCGAACAATCTTAGTACAATTTTCTTAACAATTATTTAAAAAAATTAAAAGTATTCATTATTTTAAAAATTTTAGCTATTTTTAAAAAAAAAAATTATTTTAAGAACAGTTTTTCCGGAATGTTTTATTAAAAAAAAAACTAGTTGGCCTATTAAATATAAATTTAAACATGGAGTTTCAAATAATGCTTTAGAGCTAAATACCGTTGTTACTTTCATTAATTTTATATTGATTCTCATACGACTTTGGCTTTCATTAATATTGATTGATTGATATTATTTGCTTTTACGTCCTTATGAGAATGAACAAAATGGTCATCATTATTTAATTCTTAAGCACAGTTAGATATATGAATTTTGTGTGTAGTTATATAAACGAATTTTCCGTATAGTTAGAAAAATGAAATTTGTGTAGAGTTAGATAAAATAATTTTATGGCTAGATACAGGAATAAATATTAAAAAAAATTGTAGTAAATGTAAAATCTCTTTCAACTCCTACGCTTTAAAAATATTCTATAAAAAAACAGTTTTTTACCCTCATTTTTGAATTAATTATACAGTTTTAAAAGGAATGCAAAATGCTGTGTATTTGGAAATAAGAAAATAATAATAAAATCTACTTTGATAGTTTCATAAGAAGAATTTTTCAAAATGAAAATTAAATAAACGAGAAATTCTATCACTTGGAATTTAATTATTTTTATTTTACTTTAAGGAAATAAGTTTTCGGTAGCTACGTTTTTTTTTCTCATTTTTTTTACAGAAAATGTTAAAATTAATTAATCAGATAGTGAGTGGAAAATCCTGTTTAACAAAAATTTCAGAAGCTATTTTTAAACTACCTTTAAATAAATTTAGATTTCAGCAATACACTTTTTTTGACGAAGGTAATTTTTTTATTTCAAATTAAGAAATGAAATAATATGCGAATGCTTTGTTAGATATTTTGCTATGAGATTTAAATTCTTAAGCTGATCGTAAATAAAAATAACAATCCAGTCGAAAAAATAATCACGCTCTTTATCTTTTGATCTACGTTATGGTAAGCTAGAATAAGTTTTTTTTCTTTCAAATTTCTGAATTTTATGTCGATAAAAATTCCCGCTGTAATCATAACTTTAACAAAAGTAGGTTTGAATAAATTGAAAAAGTTCCGGAATAGGCATGAAGCTTCTTTCGTTAATTTTTTTTGTTTTTTGTGTTTAAAACCTTAAAGAGGAAACAGATTTCAAATTTCAAGTTCAAAAAATCAAATTTTGGAATGTTAAAAAACAGTCAAAAAATGATATATGAAATGTCATGTTAATGTCTCCCGGAATCTTTATATAAACCTTAATTTCCTATAAAAAAAAATATGCATAATCCGCATCTTTTAGGTCTTATTAAGTTAATAAAGTTTAGTTTTCAAGTTCAATAAATCAAAGCATAGGATGTTATAAAAACTGTCAAAAAGTTACAGCTGGTAGTTGAGAGTTATAGAATATGGATCTCTACGTGAAGGAACACCGCGATTAACATTTTCAGATAAACGAAAAGTGAGAAACTTGTTATATCATACTTACTTTATGTAAGAAAATAAAGCAATGCTTGAAACAAATGATTTTTAGATTTTCATATAAGAGGATTAAAAATTTTATCAGTATATTAAATTAATGGCGCAATGCGTGTCACTCCATTTTTTATTTCTTTAAAAGATAAATAAAAAAGAATATTTATTAATTATTTTCCGAACTCCCTTATAATCTTTTACAAAGCACATTATTATAGGGAAATTTGAAATCTTATTTAATAAGACAAATGCAGCTGCTTAGTAATATTATGCCGAACGGGAAATGCTGCATGGGTCATAAGAGTACTTCCCAAGCATTTGAATTCTCACCTTATTTGAATGGGGCCGAGATAGCCTGGTCGATAGGGGGCTGGGCCCATGCCCGAGAGTTCGTGGGTTCTAACCCCGCCGTCCAAAGACTCCCCGTGTAGTAAAGTGACTGATGCACGTTAAATCTGTCGAGTCGCAAAAGTCCTCCATGTACCCATAACAAATCAATAGCTCTGGGGGTACTGGATTGGAGATTAATCGTTCTCTGATTCAGGTCAAAATTACGATCTGTGGATGAATGAATGGATGTATGAATGGGTCCGCCCTATAAACGGGTGCAACGAATGGGTGTGGCAGAAGTAGAATTCTTGACCATAGATGGCGCCACTGGAAAACAAGAACAATCGCACCCCGTCTGCCTAAACAGGCATACGTCAACAACAACAACAATCTTATCCGAATGAGGTCACAATTACGTGGAATGGTCCTTAAAGGGTAGAGCCCTGAAAAATGGTGCTAGCTGCTAGGATGTAAGTTTAGAGGTGTGTGATTACTTTATGCGGACCACAGGTTAAAAATTATTGTTTTAAGCTATATCTGACGTAAAATAGATTTTGTCATACAAAAGTAATGTAACTTTGATTAAAAAATACACCTGACGTTGAGCAGAAGCTCTGGAATCTTGTTTGCTGTGTGAAACGAAAACGGTGTTACAAAGAAAAGGGGAAGAAACGGTGTTATAAACTAAGTCAGACAAAAAAGGAGAAATGGTATATACTATACGATAACAGATTTCGCGTGTTTATAAACTACAGAATACTCTATAGCATCATAGATTTTGCTCATTTTTGCACTATATTACACAGTAGGACTGTAGGTTTTTTGCATTTTTATACTATACGAAACTATAGGATCATAATAAGATACATTATAGGATTGCTGATTTTGAGCATTGTTACACTATATAACACTGAAGGATACTCTACTGGATTGTAGGTAATGAGCGTTTTTACGGTATTCTACACTATAGGATGTTAGATTTTGCGCGTTTTTATATTATGCTGCACTTTAGGATTGCAGATATTACGCGTTTTGGCACTATACTACACAATAGGATCACATTAAAATGCACTGTAGGATCGTAGATTTAGCGCGTTTTTGCACTATACTGCACTATAGGATTATAAGATACACTATGGGATCGTAGATTTTGCGCGATCGTCGAACGAGTTTACCGACGTAGATGTCGCGTAGACGAATTCTCTGGGAAGTAGGACTTTTAAAGGCTGCACTTGAAAACCCCCTTATCGTTTATGTTTGAGCCAATTATAACATGAAATTCTATAAATATATTTTTATCGAGTAACGATTTAAGCTTTTACGTTAAAATCTTTTGCAAACTTTTAAATTTATGGAAAATAGAACACCGAACGTGACAATCTTGAAAAACAGTTTATGAGCGATAACAAGTATCGGAGAAAGGAAAGTACATTCTCTGGCCTGGTGAAATCAATAAATCTTCTGAAAGGTGACATTATGGGAGGTTATTTTTCATATAAAAATAAACCTAAAATTTCCTAGTTATATTTAGATTTTCAGAAAATATTTCATGCATTCTCAGGTATATAATGTAAGCTTTCTATGACGTCAGTTGTGTAGGTTTAGGAAAATTTTTCGAAAACGTGTTCTATATTTTTTTCTCCAGATATGTAGTTCTATTTTTGTCGTGACCTTTCAAACCTATTGACCTTTGTCGTGACCTTTTTTCATGCAAAAATTTACTTCAGTAAGTTAATAAATAGCTTTGTGAACATGGACAGTGCACAAAAAAAAGTTTAAAAAAATCGAGACACTCTGAATAATTTTTTGATTTATTGATCGAATGTTCAAGGATTATGAGACAAACTTAATGATTCAAGAGCCTAATTTTGAATACAAAAATTAATTAGTGCAGACGATATTTTAAATCATGAAATCAAACACAGAAATATAAATTTTT